TTTGGGTAACTCATCCATTTGAGTACTGTGAGAATGATGTTTTTGCACAGTCACTTGGAAATAGAAGCTAAAAATCTGCAATTTATTGTTGCATTTTAAAAACTATTGTGTTCTCACAGAGAGTTAAAATTATGAAAACTGTGCCACTGTCCAAACATTTCAACACCCAATTGTACTTCTACTGATGTTCATTATCCAAGTTGCTTTATGTGACTTTTATTGACAGGCATCACCAGGCCCCAGTCTCCAGTAACAGCCCAGTGGTAACCAAAGACTTTTTCTTTACCTCTAACAGTAACAGTGATCGACGGATCAAACATACTGCAAACATTTAGACCTTGAAGACATTTGACGAAACTTTAATGCTTATTTTAATACCTGAAGTCAACTCTATGTTCAGAAGCCCTTCAGGTTGTATTAGAAAAAAACAATGAGGAAATGCATGTGTTGACAGTGTTCGATCACAAGACATATTCAGCAACCAGGACCACGGAGGAAGAGTTGTGTATTTCTTTTGTTCAGCTCATTCCTCCTAGCTCAATTACAGATGAGTCACCAAATCAAGTCAAGCAGGATGCCTGCAGACAACAGTGAAACAGATCTCGTGCGAATCCCCTGTTCCTGTTTTGTCAAATGCTAGCTTCTGTATTAAGTCATAGAGCAGATATATCCTAAACTAATGAAACGTCCTCTCCCCATTTATGAACAAAGTCATTTAACAACATATAGTACCAGGTGTGCGCTATCAGAGTATCCATGAAAAAGCACAAGTTCATTTTAAAACAATAAAAATAGCAACACATTGACAGAGTTATATCATGACTATGACATCAACAAACATTACTTACAGGAAGAGTAACATTGCTACAAGATTCTGTGAAGAACTTCAGTGTGATGATGCTTTGAGGTCCAATGACATTGACTCTGACATTTAAACCAACCATAAAGTAAATAAAATAGAATTATTTGTATTTAATTACTCTATAAATGACTTTCTGTCAAAAGAAATGAGCCAGCAGCTCTTTATCTATTTAATGAGACACTATTAAGACTTTCAATACCGTCAGATACCTTGCTTGGACTTTACTTTTTAAACACCATGGGTTTAAAAGTAAGTCTGAGAAAGTAGTGAAAGAATGAAAATCTAAGCTATAGTCATATGGAACCTCTGATATTAGCTCAAAAATAGACCCCTTTGTCATTCTAGCTGCTGGAAGGTTTAAAAGCACCACTGCTCGAGGGTCAATTCCTCTCAAATCCTGGTCATGCTATTGTGGCAGGAATGTGTGTGCTCTTGATGACTGCTAAGGGGAAGGCTGGCACCACAACAAGGCTCCTAAAGAAAAACTGCTGCCAAGTCGGGCTCCACATAGTCATGCGTTTCTCTACAAAGAAGATTTACGAGGTTATGGACTCTGAACAGGTTTGTATGAGCACATGGACACACAAGCAGCATTTACTACTATATGATACTGCTAATATCAATACATTAATATTACTGCCCGTTTTTAGGATGTATCTAGGATCACACACTTTGCTTAAATGACAGATGATTGATAGCGATTACCAGAATACACAAATATGCATCCAAAAGTGTGTTTGGATTAAGCAGCCAAGTGCTCAAAGTCAACCACTGTGAGTTGGGTTCTCTTTGGTTAAGTGAAACTTTTGTGGTCATTGATCTGATTTACTGATAGTTTCGGTATGATTGGTCACTTTCTCAAAAGCAATGACACACACAGCAGCTTTATCTTACTGCAAAGAGCAGATTTTCATCACTGTGTTAAAAAAAAGAAGAAATTTAGTATGACATAGTTACAAAAAATACATCATATAGACCACCAAAACCAGTTAAAGCTACTTTCAAACTTTATTACTTGTTACATTTTTACTTGAATGACTATATGATTCTGTGTCCATCTTTGTTAAGCACTCACTAAATGTGTAGGAAGAAACCGTGGCTGACGTTGTGACCTCTTATGAAAAAGACAGATTTCTACAGAGCAGCAACAATGTGAAGAAACAGCGTGACTCACAAGAGGATGATCTTGCGGTTGATATCTGGTCTGTAGGGGAAGGGTGAGGGGAAACTCTGGCTGAGCATGCTGTGGCTCCGGACCAGCCGTTTCTCCTCGCCATCATTGTCCAGCTGCTGCTGCCATGTGGGAAGAGTCTGGATATCCACAAACTGGGAGCGAGCACCCAGAGGATCCATCCCCATCTGGCACTACAAGCCTCGAGAGGATCACCAACTAGCTGGGCTGCAAGTACAAGATAAAGTCATTTGCCTATTTCCAGTGTCTCCCTGTGGCTTTGACAGACAAAAAAAAAAATCTAGATGATTGTGGAAATGAACAGTGCTCATTTGCTGTGCTTTTGAGAAGATCTGCATTTTGGTTTATTTTCACAGGTAATCAGTCTATCCTAGCTGTGATCGGGCCACAGGTCACCAGTATGTTGCAAGGCTAACACAGAAAACCTGACAACCCATTTATGTCCACATTCACACCGATGGCCACGTTAGGATCACTGATTGGCCTTAACCCCATAAATGACTCAGGGAGGAAGCTGGAGCACCCACACAAACACAAGGAGAACACAGAAAGGTGCAGGCAGGGAGAACTAACTGGCAAAAATGACATTTTCTTTGAAAACTTGAAGGGTAAAAACAAAACTTGTGATTTTGTTAAACATGTTTCAAGGATTGAATCTTTGTGCAAAACCCAGTTCAAGGGTGTTCCAGTCTCCTGGAGGTGGCTCTGGCCTCCAGAGACCTGTTCGGTGGCTATGAGGAGGACATTACAGCATCAAGAAGACCTAATAGGATCACTTAACAGAGCAGTTACTTAGCATATGAAAAATAAATTCAGGTCTGGAAAAAAAAATTCAAACCTATAACACTGAGATGTTATTTTTTTCTATGCAAATACATATGTAACATGCATCCTGTTAATCTATCTAATAAACTGATAGGAGTCTGTAATGGAGCCACATTTTTACTATGTCAGTGACCTACATAGGTTTTACTTATCTCCAGGTCTTCAGATAGTTTGGAAGAAGTACAAAATATGCACGTGACTCTGAGATCACCGTTTGCAATACACAACTGTCAGACAGACAGCACTGATGAGCTCGGCCAGCGTTTTTAACAGCACACATTTCAACCTGGCTTACTGAAACACTTAAAGGAACTCAGGCATCATTATTACAAATAAGCTTTCCCTGCAATGAAAAGTAAAGATGTTTGTCATCAAGCAGGTCTACGGATTAGAGAGCAGAAAACCAGCTGTCGATTCCCATTCCTAATAACGACCTGGAGTAAAGACGGACCTTACAAACTACATGCACGGCTGCCACCAGTCTGATTCCAGACACACATATTAGACTGTCTCTGATTTACGGCGGCAAACTCAACAAGAAACCCTCATGTAATAACATTATCACCAGATAAAAGCTGGGCGCTTCATTGAATACACGTATGACAGTAGTCCCTTTGTTCACACATGTAACACCATATAAACCCCAGCTCGAGATAAAACCCATGTCATGAGCACGACAAAACTCGTGAGCCTTAAATAAGTTCAGTATAACGCAGAAAGTTATTTTTAATAAGCTGGTTGAGCTGTTTTTGTTTGTAATTGTCTGATTTTCTTGCAGTTAATTTGTGGCAAATTGGATACTTTTAATTACTTTTTAGAGCTTTGTAAATCAAATAAGCAGTTTGAAGACATGGCATTTGGCATGTTACTACTCCATTAGCTTAGTAAAAGCTGCATTTCATTAAAAATAATCAAACACATGTGTGATAAGCATCCGTCACAAGAAATTAATCATCTGTCTCTTACTAGGTAAACTTCTTTCTCTTCCGAAGCATTTCTATGTCAGGCCAGAAAAGCAACAGTCTCTTTATAAATCGATAAACAGTGCACTTTGGTCAGAGTGTTTCAGAAACCAAACAGACAGTTACCCACCTAGCAATGTATTTCCTTTACAGGGGTGATGTCACGCCAAAATTATAAAAGGAACAATTAATAAATCTTGACACGACACCATATAAAATCAAAACGTGATGTTCATCCTCAGGGTCCTCATACTAACAAGCACAAATACTGCAAATGCAGTCAAAAAGTAAGTTTCAAAGTGCCAAATACAAGGATTTGCACATTTAGCAACCATGCTAAGAGCTGATTGTTGCGGCGTAAAGTCTGGAGTATTAAAAAAAAAAAATCAACATCCCGTTAGGCATTTCAAAATAAACTTCTAGAATTTTTTTTCATTTAACTACATTTCAAAAACTACATTTCATATAAGTATGACAACTACATTTTCCCATTTTCTTTGACCTAATTCGTTAATTTCTGAACATAAACTTGTCTGCTTGCATCTTTTTGATCTTACTTATTACATTTATTTCTCAAGTTTCATTAATAAAGTGCTGTGAATGATTAAAAAACGTTTCTGCTAGGTGCTTGGATTAAACAAATCGAGTGACCTCCTGCATTTAAAAAAAAACACCCAAAACATATACATATACCTTTCCTTTAATAGGGTACAAATGCACCTTGTTAAAGAATTTCTTCTGTTTTAGTCCCTCCTTTAGAAAAAGCCAGTTAGGACTCCATTAATTATGTGTTTCATTAATTTTATCATTATCAAGTAGTTAGTGAAAGTCTGTTCTCCCTCTCTCTACAGTGGCAGTCCCATGTATGTGTTACATGTTGGAATTACAAACGAAATACAATGCCATGTGAGTATGATTATTCTGGCCTTTCAACTATTTTTAGAGTATGTTTAATGTACTTTTACTCTATTCTTTATAGTTTTCTGTCATGTCCATACTATCCTATTAAAATAGCACACGCTTTTGTTTTGTATAGGTTAGACAAACACGTTTCCGGTGCTATTCACGAGATCATTTTATTTTTCCGGTGCTAGTCAGCTGACTTAAAAAAACACTTCCGGTATGGTTGCTTAGGAATCACCGTGGAGTCACTTTATTGATGTAAACCGCAAAAATCATAACTCTAAGCCAGACGTCTCTGTCCAAAAATTAAACAAACAAAAACAAGTATCTGTAAAGACCTAATATATTATTTTATTTTGGACTGTACATTCAAAAATGTATAAAATGTCTTTCTTTTGGTATTGCAGTCAAAAGCAATAGAAGGAGCGCAATCGAGAAAACAGAGAAACAGAAAAGTTTCTTTGACTCGCAGTTCACTGCTAAAATCCTATCTAAAGATTTAATTTTTTTTAATTTCCAATAGACTGTATCTGTGTGCATAGTTTTATAGGCAAACTAGCACTGCATGGTATTTTTTTAGTAACGATTTGTGATCGATTGGTTGGGTCTGAAACAGCAGCCGAAGTCAGGCACTTCAAGGTAGTTGCTAGTTGCCACACTTCAAAGGTAAGAGGACCAACATAGACGCTTTACATTGACGAAACAAACGCAAATGTTGTATATAACGTTTAGAGATATACATTTATGTTATGGTTACTTTTATTAAGTACAATTATCCAAGAATTGTTTTACCACGTGGGTCTAGTAACTGGGTTATCATGCTTAGGCACACTCGATTTGGGTCAAATATGTCTCCGGGCGGGCGGAGGTTGACGTTGTCGTGTTGAGTCAAATGCCAGAAGCGTAAACCGGCAACTCTGCCTGCAGTTTTGTGTACTAAAACGAACGTACCCGTATATGCGAGGACTGAAGCGCTATACCTTGCTACACGTTTACTAAAAAGTACGTATTTTTGGTGTATTATTTTAAAGCAGGAATTGCAAATTATGAGGAAAGGACATAAACCGAAGGAATAGACCAACAACATTGAATCGACACTGCAGAAATAAAGGCCGTAGTTCGACACATTATAAACAAATCGAAAATACTTTACACCTCATTAATACGGAATAGCACACTAAGATCAGACATGTATTAAGTATATAGTGTCTTATGCTGGTATAAAACAGAAAACCTTATTTTTGAAAACTGTGATATATTTAATACGCATACGTGATAGATTATATATTCTAGATAGCAGGGACAAATTACAGCACAAATGAAACTATGCTATATAGATAAAGATTCGTCATTTTATTGCTGTAAATATCTATTAATATGTGGACTCTTGGGTACATTTGATATACAATGTATTTCGTCTTTGTTGTCATGATGGAAAGCATGAATTGTCAATGATGTTTCCATTTTTTTGGCAACAGTTGCACAAACAGAAAGCCAAATCCTTAAAAAAGAGAAGGATGCCCTGATTGTGCAAATGTGGTTTAGTACCAAAGTTTAAAATGGTTAATGTTTACAGCAGTGTTTATGTGTTTATGCCTTCTGTTGTATCAGGAAACTGGTTTTTCATATAAAAACTATTCACGATCTTCCCCACACTATATTGGAACATTTAGCACAGGAGGCGTCAAAGCCACTTTAGGATGACACGATAACTAATAACATGTGGGTGTAATGTTCAACTTTTCAAACAGTGTTATAAAAATAATAAAAACCGTTTTCTGTATGATCTTCATGAAAATGTAGACTTCAATATCTAGCAGAACACACTGAACTCTGAACATTATGTAGAATCAGGTGGAGCCAATCAAGGACTGAGTCTTTGTTTTTCTTCCATAAAAGGTGTGCACAGTAAATTTTTCTCCTGTGCTCTGGTGTGAAACGGGATTCAGCATCACCTCAGGCTGCTGGTCATGGGTTTGACCAAGCAGTACCTGCGCTATGTTGCCAGCGCTGTTTTTGGGGTCATTGGCAGCCAAAAAGCCAACATCACGTATGTGACCCTTCGAGGAGGGGAGAAGGGGCGCTATGTGGCTGTGGCTGCATGTGAACATGTTTTCATCTGGGATGTTCGAAAAGGAGAGAAGGTGAGGTTCAAGTATGATTATAACAATGCGACAACTCATATCCAGGTACACTTCCCTTCAGATTTTATCTGTTCTTATCTTTATTCCTGTCATCTGTGTGTGTGTAGGTCCTGATCCTGCAGGGTCAGAAACATGAGGTGACCTTTCTCTGCCCTTCACCTGATGGAGTTCATATTGCCGTGGGTTACGAAGATGGTGCAGTAAGAATCTTCAGCCTGCTGAACGGTGAGAGCAACGTCTCCTTCAACGGCCACAAGTCTGCAGTCAGCGTCATACACTATGATGCACTCGGGGCAAGACTTGTTACTGGCTCAAAGGTGAGTGTGGCAGGTTGTTCTTTGGTTTTGTTAAGTGTTGACATGATTCTAAACTCGACATCAAAGTGACAACAGTTACACGAAAATAAAGGTGTTAATATAAATGGAAGATAAATTGGAGGTTTGTTTGTTGAGTGGTTTACTTTGCCTTTAAAATTTTTTTTTAATTTACAAGATGGACTGTGAGTTGCAAGGAATCACCTCAATTAACTGTTTACTCCTGTCTTAGGACACAGATGTGATCGTGTGGGACATCATCAATGAGTGTGGGCTGTACAGGCTGAGAGGCCATAAAGATGTCATCACGCAGGCCCTGTTCCTGAGAGACAAGAACCTCCTCGTCACATGGTAGGACACCGTGATGTTTACATTGTGTCTTGTCTACTGGATTGTATATTTGAAATGGAGGTTTGAAAAGCTAATTGTGTGCTCTGCCCACTGTATAGCTCCAAAGACAGTTTTGTCAAGTGGTGGGACTTGGACACACAGCACTGCTTTAAGACTATGGTGGGCCATCGCAGTGAGGTGAGATGCTTCTTTCTCTGCATTTAGTCCAAGTCCGTTTGTGGAATTTCTTCCTTTCTAGATATTCCACACATGCATGACTAGGGCTGGGCCAGATATTATTCACAATAAAACCCCAACAATCAGACAACCTCCTATGAACTTGCCAAGAATGGAAAGAAAAAACTCCCTTTTTGTAAAAGAGAGCTACTTCAGCAACCTCTAACAAAGTGTGATGCTTTACAAAATATGCAAGAAAACTCTTCCTGGTGACGATGGAAACAACAAACTTGTTTCACCCTTTGAGGCAAAAACACACCATCAAGTACAACCAGGCTATGAAGGAGGAGATGCTAACAGCTGATGATGTGCAACCCAACATTAAACAAATGACTCACCTGAGCAGCGCTGGAGCACTTGCTACTTACACTCCGTATAACAAGAAGCACAAACAGTGGATGGAAATTACTGATGCAATCTCATGGTGGTAAAGGAGGAATTTAAGTAACTGGTTAAAAAGGTCGACCACATAGTACCAGAGAAAACACTAGCTGGCCTGCTTTTGTGCTTACGTTTGACTTATGCTGCGTCACTGCATGTAATTCTGTGTCACTGCTATTGGACTATAATGTGGCTGCTGCTGGCAGTAGATTCACATTTTGAGTTGGGTAGTCTATCTCTAATGACAGTAACTCATCACAAGAACAGCATGTTTAATACCTTTTATTTTGTTTGCACTAATAAACACTGCTGGCTGTAAGCTGCACTCATTGATACAGCATTTATTGAGTATTTTTTGTTCTTTATTGTCAGAAATATCATTATTGCACATTTCCTTGACACCTTGTGATAGAATGTTCAGGTAATATCACCCACACTGAAGCTGCAGCGCACAGGTCCAAACCTGCTCTGGCATTAACCTCAGGACAAAAACTGTGCACTGGGAGCTTCATGGCAGGATTTTCCATGGCCAAGCAGTTCCTGTAGGTGTACTGTGCGGTACTTTGGTCCATATAGTGGAGCTGTTGTGACTAGCTGCTTTCACTGGAAGGAAATGGGAATTATAAGAGACTTTCCACTGGAATTTTAATGTTTTTCCTGGATTATTAAGATGACTCGATGTTTTTTTTTGTTTTTTTTTTTAAATGTGTGTGTGTGTATGTTAGGTTTGGGGTATGGTGTTGCTGAGCCAGGAGAGTAGGCTGTTGACGGGCTCTGCAGACAGTGAGCTTCGAGCCTGGGACATCAACTACCTGGAGGAGGTGAGAAAGGACACAGCTGAGCACTTTTTTCTCTTCAGAGAGAAAGCAAACAGTTTTTCTTGAGATCCTGGAGTCTCTCCCCTAATGTGCGATGCTTTACTTTCTATGAAGATGTCATGTTTTGCTTTTAGTAGTCTTTCATTTCCCTTTTGTATTATTTTGCCTGTAATTTTACACAACACGGGCCCTTTTTTTTCAATTACATTAAATTTGTTATTGAAGTTAATCAGATCCTTATTAACTGTAGTTTTTGGCTCTAAAAACGATATTAAATGAGTTGTTGTAAGGTCGTAAAACTCCTGCGCAGGCAAAAGCTGAGGGTGAGCCTAAGGTGAAGAAGGGAAAAACTCTGTTGGTTGATGATGATGAAGAAGACGATAAAGAAGACGTGGATGAAAGCCTTGAAGAGGTAAAGTAGCATTCATTACAGTGAGGGTAAAATGATTCAAATGCTCTGCATGTATCAACTTTGTAGTAGAACGTCATTCTTTATTAAGCAGTGTAGGTCTCAGAAGGATAAAGTCAGTGCACTGCCACATTTTTGTGCTGTTGATTCTTTTTTTTCTAATGTTTCACAGTTGTTAATAGTTCCAATTATTCAACACCATCTTCAACTAGAGTATTTTTGTAAATTAAACCAAATTCTCTCTTTAACCTTTATTCTTTCTTTTTCTTTTTGGGCAGCGCATCCTATCTTGTGAAAAGGCCGGCTCCATCCTGAGAGAAGCTAGAGATCGCGTCGTCTCACTGACAACAGACCGCCACGCCAGAGTCATCGCCTGCCACGTAAGTACTGAAGCATCTTACAGCTCCTTGTGACTCGGCATGATGTGTGGAATACACAGTATTTCTGTGTGGGTTGAATGTAATGCTTGCTCGGTGCAGTTTGAGCCCACTGAGACCTGCTGTAGTCATGCTGTAGTATGTGTTTCTTCTTTCACTGGTAGCTTTTAGGCACTCATCAGTAGTAAGGTCGTCTTGTGGCTTTTAGTCAGTGTCGCTAATGTGATGTAAAAGAGATCAGACTGACATCACTAATGTATGTCAGTTCACACCCTGCTGTAAATGTCATTTGTCTTCTGACCACATGACCTGATGGTTAAATGCGATTAAGAATAGTTTCAATGGTTTTGTTTTGTTGGTCTTTCCTTCAACAGGAACACAGACTGATTGCTGAGTTATTTCCTCCTATACAGTCACACTGCCTGTCAGCATTCGCCTGACAATCAG